AACACTCAAACCAAATGAAGTAATTGGGTTGACGAGGTTTTTGTTTGATGCTTACCTTGTCTTCCCCTTCTCCTCGTAGTCGTTGCAGCACAAGCCCATGGTCCCATCTAAAGGATCTGTTCTTAAATTCTCTCATCAACTAAATCACATATTATATACAGGTGAAAGCATATTTAAAGCAGTGTAGATTACAGTACAGATAAACAAAGGGCAAACACTAATTAATACGTTTTGCATGCTCGTGTCATTTGATTTATAGAGGAAGTTTTGACTTTAGAGAAGATAAGATTTACAAACAAAGGTTCCATCATTAATTATATGACGCAATGAAGCTACTGTTATGAGTTAGTGATTGTTTGAGCCACGCGTAACTTTAAGACTTCTACGCTTGATTTTATTTCTCATAATCGATTGCTTGTTGGTTGTAATAATAAACTAAACTTTTTGTGGAAAGAGGTAACACAGTTGGAAAAAATATTGAAATGTAAAGTATTAATTAATGACGGCACTTTATTAGATACTGATTAGTCACAGTAAAGGTAACTGGATAAGATCACAGAGTAATGTAAGATGAGTATGCTTCTGGTAGCTTTTGCTTTATCTTTGGAAAAGTAGTTGCAGAAGAAATTTGTGAGAGAGAGGAGAAGAGTGGAGAAGTCAATTATCTGGCCAATAAGCTGGATGCGGCAACGAGAAGAAGATGGACCATATCCAATGTAACCAGTATAATTTTTTTAAGTGAAGGCTACCTCCATTGAATCAGATTCCAATATTGTGATGACCCAGTGACCCTACTGTTCTTCTATATCTGATATAACTCGTGAAGGTGATTCTGAGAGAAACATACACTCACACCAGCGTATAGCTATAGCCTTCACTACAATGCTTATCCAAGTGGGACACTAATCACTCACTTCAATCTGTATGCATACCTAGACTAGATACTCAAAATCTCAGATGCTTGGCCAAATGCGGCTGTGCATGTTGTCTCTTATCCTACTTGACTTTTAATAGCTGCCTTGCATGCTCCAATGTTTCATCATCAGTAACGTCACCGCTCCACTGTTGCATGTGCTGTATAATCTTACATCAGTTTAACAGCAAATAAACTTTGTGTTACGTTTAAATAAAAAACTAGTGAATAGACACCAAAACTATACCTTTTTTAGAACTACTGAAGGAGAAAATTATTTCTCATCCTCTTGAGTTAGACTACCGGAGAGGGAAAAGCTTCCATTTTTTTTTTCTTTTTTCCCACCACTTTAGTTTGTTTCAGGCATTTTCTGCTATCAAAATTTATAACGGTAGCTATCACCGATCTGTGGTACTGGCAGCACTGACTGACATCTCATCAAATTTTAGTTAAAATCGTAGTGTCACTATTCAAAGTTTTTGAAAGAATATTGAGAAGATAAGGAACAAAATTGACAAATTCAATGGGATGTCACTAGTGTAATACTATATATATACACAGTATCTTTCTCTTTCATACAAACTGATGTGTTTTAATGTGATTGGATAATTTTAAATGAGGAATAAACTTAACAAATTTGAGGAGATATGTATCAAATATATAGGGTTTCTACGTTAGTTTGTAGAGAATAATTTGTACATGTGACATTACTCTACACTTTATTACTTTTAAGGCTGTGAACTTTAAATTAGTCGGAAAGTTTAGAAAAAAATTTATACTTTTCTGTCGGTATATGGGGGTGGACAACATAAGTGGTGATCATTTTTTCCTTTTATCTTTTATTTGTTTAGTGAGAAGGAAAGTGGGAATACAAGAGGAGTGCATGCTATCCTATCATTTCTTATTTTCGGACTTAATTAGAGAGAAAAAGTGTGGCTGAAATTTGGAATTTGCTGAGAACAAGCCAAAGTTAAGTTGGAAATTACAAATTTTTTGCACTTCCGATTTGAGATCGTATACAAATTAAACTAAAGAGCACCGAGGAATGTTGACACATGGGAATAGTGTGCAACAATATATCTGAGTTTCCACAACCACGAGCCCACTTCAATAGCTACTGCGGTTCAGTTCAAACTTTAAAGTATGGGCAGATATGAGTAGTTCTGTTGATCAGGGTTATTAAACCTCAGAGATAGTTTCAGAAGATTTATTATGGAGTTTATATATGTAGAAAAGTATGATAGTCGATTTATGTGACATCAATCAACATGACGATAGATCGAAATTATGGTTAAGGCCATAAATTCTGACCTTCGATTATTTGGTCTTATTTTCTTAACGCAAACTAGAAAGAAAATTAGCCGACAGGCTAAAGAAGAGTGGCTAGAGTAAGCAGATAATACATTGTGGCATTTACACTGTCCAATCAGAATGTAGGTGTCGTAAGATACGCTGGTATCTAAAATGGTATAAATAGCAGTGCCAAACATACTACGACTTATATAACCAATCCACAAACCTCCACGCCTTTCCTCACCTACCTATAATATATTAGTTATTACAATTATAAACAGTACCTTATCTAACAAACCATTCTCAGCAACCTTTCTAATCAAGGTTTCCCAATCGCCAAAATTCATGGGCAACATCCTCTTAGAAGCTCTCCATGTTCGTGTTGTAGGTTCCGGAGAAAAATTTCTGGTACTTGCCCATGGATTTGGGACTGACCAATCCGCCTGGCAACGCATTCTTCCATATTTCACCCATTATCGTGTAATTCTCTATGACCTTGTTTGTGCCGGTAGTGTAAATCCTGATTATTTTGACTTTAGTAGGTACACAACTCTTGATGCTTATGTTGATGACTTGCTTAACATTCTCGAAGCCCTTGGTGTTGATCGCTGCGCCTATGTTGGTCACTCTGTTTCCGCTATGATTGGAATCTTAGCGTCTATTCGCCGCCCCGAGCTCTTCACTAAGCTCATTCTTGTCGGCGCTTCTCCAAGGTAAATCATTTAGAAAGTCAATTTTTTATCTAGTTTGACTTGGGTTTCTTTTATTTCTCCGAATCTGAATCAAAACTTTAAATATACACGTTCAGATTTTTGAATGACAACGATTATCATGGGGGATTTGAGCAAGGTGAAATTGAGAAATTGTTTACGGCAATGGAAAGGAATTATGAGGCATGGGTTTATGGGTTTGCACCGCTAGCAGTGGGGGCAGACGTGCCAGCAGCTGTTAGAGAATTTAGCCGGACCCTATTCAATATGAGGCCAGACATATCGTTATTTGTTTGCAGAACCGTATTTAACTGTGATCTTAGGGGCTTCCTTGGCCTAGTGAAGGTGCCGTGTTGCATAATTCAGACCGCCAAGGATGTCTCGGTCCCCATATCAGTAGCCGAATATCTACGGAGACATCTGGGTGGGCGTACCACGGTGGAGATTTTGAAGACAGAAGGTCATTTNCTCTATTGAAGTGGTACTTGAAATGTCTTGAATGTAGCTGGACCATAGGAATTGAGAACCTATTTTCGGGCCATCTGGATCAATGAAAGGAATTTTGGCTTCACCCCATTCTCCATAGAGCGCAAAACATATCATGGCCCATGGGCAATTAGCAATTGTCAATAGCACGGCTTTCCATTACAGAACGCAAAACAACTTGCTTATTAAAGCTTCAATTATTCGAGGACACATCCTCTTGATCTCCAAGGACAAGGAGAGGCAATATATATGGTGAATCTAAATCATGTCAAATTTATTGAAGTTAAATTTGTTCTACATCCCAAGTTAATTGGCTGTTATGATGTATTTAAGTGGTCAAACTCCCTCCTCTCTTAAGTTAACTTTTAAGAATGAGTTCTACTCAAACTCATTTTATCATATTTTAAAAAACCAAGTTGGTTTGTTTATTTGCGGCAATGGTGAGTTTAGACCCGACCTTGCACGCCTCTGTGAGTAAGAGTGTTCGAAAGCGGTTAACCAATTTTCTGAACCGAATCGGTTTGGGGGGAAAACCGATTTTTTGGTTTACCGAAAAACAGGTTAACCACTTAAAAAAATCGGTTAATCGGCTTTGAACCGGTTTTCCCCTGATATCTGATTGTTTATGTGTGTCTCTGTGAGTGACTGAGTATGACAAATCTGGAGAGAACTCAAAGAAGACGAAGCTGAAGAAGATAAGGGATGGAGTTGTTCCTGCTTCCGGAAAACTGTAGAGAATGGAGTTTGTCCTACTGCTGGAGGAAGAAGACGAAGTTGCCGGAAGAATACGACGAAGTTGCCGGAAGAATACAACGAAGTTGCCGGAAGAAGATGACGAAGCTGCCGGAAGAACACGACGAAGCTACTGGAGCTTGGAAGAAGACAACAAAGCTGTCGAAAGAAGAACGATGGTGTAATGTGGAGTGTGGACGCCTGGAGACAGGAGAAATGGAGTATATGTGACGTGGAGACGGACTAACGATGGAGAGTTTTGAGAAATGAGAGTGAGAAGGGATATTGGGAATTTGGGATTTAGGTTGAGTCAATTTAGGGATTTAGTTTAGATTATTATTTTTTTATTTAATATATAATATATATTTTTATTTTTATTATATATATATATTTGTAAACCAGTTAAGTTAACTGGTTTTGATTTTTTCTCGAATCGGTAACCGAACTGAAAATCTGGTTTTTTGAATTTTTTGAACTGTAACCAAACCATTTTTTCGGTTAACCGGTTTTTCGATTTGGTTCGATTTTTGCATTTTTTTTAACACTTCTATCCGTGAGGGATGGTATTAAAGTTGAATTTGTCCCATAAACCAAGTTGGTTTGTTTGTTTGAGGCGATTGTGGTTTGGACTCGGCCTTGCACACCACTGCTTCCATGAGAGATGGTATTAAAGTTGAATTTGTCTCACATCGTCATCCTTAAGTTAGCTTTTGAAAATGAGTTTTATCAAAGTTCACTTTATCAAAATCAACATAAAGAATAATTATTTCTAAAACAAAACCATATTTCAACGACCTTTTTGACAAGGCATATGAACAAGATTATTAGAAGATAGCATATTAGCATCAGACAAGGGATAGAACAGTGAAACAGGAATTCGATTGTGAAGCACACTGAACAGTACACCAAAATGCTAGGAATCCATTAATCCTGTGGACTTAATCCAAGAACAAACTGTGCCTCAAACTTTATGATTTCACTCTTCCCATTCTCATCCTTTAATTCTTGCGCACTTTGTTCGTTTTTGGAGTCAAGTCATATTCAACCGAGCTCAGGTGTATAATTTGAATTATTTCATTAGTACATCTCTTGTTCATCAGAACGTCCAAGACTTTTCAATTTTCTTCATATCTGTTGCATGTATATAGCTTTGACAGAACGACTGCCACAAATTTTCTAAAAACCTGGCTTGGGGGCTGGGGCCCGGGGTGTTATTACCTCGTTTCTGACATATAGTTACTTTCAAGAGGTTCGCAGCAAGTGTCCTCGGATTGATATTAAGAACATATATGCCTTAAAATCATATAATCACGACAAAAGACAAACTCTGATTGAAGGATAGCGTTGTAATATGATGTAAATCCTGCAGGAAAGTTCAGTCCAAGCTTCAGGGAAAGTCATGTTTCACAAAAGAAAAGGCTCCAGATTTCCTACAAGAAATGATAAAATTGTTAAATAGAATGATTAATAGTTTACCACCTTTAATCAAATCATACTGGTGGAACGAAACAGAGGTCTCCCACTTGAGGCTGAGAAGAAGCTGGTCACACTCACAAATCTGCCTTATGGTTATCCCGGGTACACGAATCTAGATCCATCATGTATATGGCAATGTCAGTGTCACATTCAAATCTGGGAATGGGAACCACGTTGAAGTGGAAAAAAGTTGCTTTGGCGCATGCCTTAAAAGGCAGAACTAATATTTAGAATAATTAATACATCATAGAAATGGAAAACAAAATTAAATGATTTATAGTGGATACAATAATGTCGAAATTCTCTTGTAATAATCTCCTACGTAATGATGCCCCTTTTTACAATGACTTGGATTCCAATAACAATTTATATAAATGTTGTAGATTTCTTTTTATGTGCCAAAGGCAAACTTTTTCTTTTACCCAATTATTCTTCTTTATAATTGCACATAACGAAATTTTATATTGAAAACCAATAAGCGCCTAGTTTTATTTGTCCAATAATACTGCAACACGATGATGGTACAATTTCACATATCTATCCCTTCCAACTCGCAAGTCAAACGCTGGAGAGGGGATCCCATTGGTCTCTAATGCCAATGTTTTTTCCCTTCAATTTTTGTCTTGCTATAAGGACAATTCATTATTTATAAAAGAGTAAACTAATTTTTCTCATCCAGACTTTTAAAATATCATTTTGTTACTCAAATTTATATTTTGTATCCAATTTTAACACCTCACACGATCACTATTTACTATTCATTTTTTCGATCATCACTCACTAAAACCCCTCAAATTCTATTCTCGTCGACCTGATCAATCGTCAATAATAGAACGATTAGGGTTTACATAGCCACCCATCTCAAATAAAATTTTGATCAAGCCCAACCACCAAAATCTAACTTTCTATCACCAAAGGCTCATTGGTTTTGCCTTTTCAAAAGCCTCAATAATCTAGACCGAGTTTGCTCTCTATTGGCCGTTGAAATATAAATTCGGATAATAAAATGGTATTTTAAAAGTTTGTGGATGAGAAAATGTCATTAAACCATTATTTGAGGGAGAAAAAGTAGTCAACTCTTTATATATATACGCGTGTGTGTATACATATACATGATGATCGGTCAACTAAAATATTATTGGAAGCTTCATTTTTGCATAGAATTTCCCAATTTACGCACAGTATCAAGTCAAAGTGTCAAAACAAATTGTTAAGAATAATCTTAGGAAATGATCAGATACTTGAACCTCATTACAAAAATGCTCAAGGTCTTTGCTCAACCTATTTGATTGTTTTGGTGTACCACCGCTAGTCTTTGTGGAAATGTATGTTGCTTGACATTAAATATTGCATAACTTCAAGAAATCGAACTTACAAATCTTTCGTCTTCTTCATCCTTTTGCTTCTCATTCATCTTTATCCTACTCACCATTCTCATTCTGACTAGACAAAATCGAATAAATGTAGATGCTAAATAACAAAAGTAAGGAAAGAGGAAAAGAAAAGTGTAGATAAGATAAGCCCAACGACTCGTCAAATCAATGAAGACTTTTCTCCGAAACTTGCCTCCACAAGGTTTGTAGGAAACTGTACTGTAGAGCCAGTGCATAACTGCCCATTATTAATGTCAATTGTTGGGGTTCATTGGTGGACCCAAAATCCATGACTTATCTTCAACTTTCTAAACTCATGTCCTCACCTGTTTTATTTCCATAATGGAAAGCCTGCACGGAGATATAGCCATCTTCCTTAGAATTCCTTCGCCTACCTAACCTAACACTTGTTAGGGCAGAAAATAGTCTTAGGCTTGACGAGACCGGATAAAAAAATAAATATATTATGGCTCAATGTCTCAACTCAATCCCAATTGGGTCTACGATTAAAATCACCTTGTGAACTACCCACTCTATTAGTTGGGCTATTCTATAAGTTAAACTAAATTGGGTTTCAGCCCATTAGCCTGCCACAGTTCATAAATAAGAAATCAGAATCTCATTCTATTTCCTCTTCTACTAAGATTCTAAATTTTACTCAAACCATTAAATTTAATCTGATAAGATCAAGAAATCATATCTCTTTCATGATAGGGATTGTCTCTCAAAATAGGACTTAGTGTCCTACTAAGATTCCAAATCTTACTTAAACTACTAAACTTAAAGGTCAAAAAATCATATTTCTTTCTTGATAGGGATTATCTCCCAAAAAAGAGGACTCAATGTCCTACTAGAATTCCAGCCCCTTGGGTTTACTATAAAAACAGAGGTTTGCCCCTCTCACTAGGCATGGAATCTCCCATAGTCAATCTACAATACTCAAAATCATCTATTTGCTCCTAAAATTCTTGCTCCCAAGAGCCCGACGCCTCCGCCGTAGTCCTAGCTTCTGACAAGACTCCTGGTAATTCTTCATCTCCTTAATTTTTATCAAATAATCTCTTTCAGCCTTGCTGATTTGAGCGTCGGAGTGCCTACAGCAAACACCAACCCGATGTTTTTCGGAAGCTTCACGGTTGCCTTTTCATGTGTGCAGGTCTAACGGATTATCAGTGACCTCAACCTCATGAGATCATATCCTATGTTCATAACGGTAGATTTTTTGTATCTACAACACTCAAACCAAATGAAGTAATTGGGTTGATGNTATATATTTTAAACCCACATCATATTAAAAATTTAAAACTCTCTCCAGTGTTTTTCTACACGACTTTACCTGTTTTTTATGATTTTATCCCCAAATTCTTTACTCTCTTTTTCTCTTTCTCATGTTATTCACTTTTAAAAATT